CTCTTTCTTGTCCTCACTTTCGGGTTTCTCCAGCCTGAGGTATTCACCAAGCCATTTGTCTTTGGGGGGCCATCTTCCTGATGTATTCCTGGATCTTGGTTGTTTCATCCTGGACAGTGGTCTTGACACTCACTAGCCCTCGGCCTCCCTCGCTACGCTTGGTGTACAGTCTCAGGGTGCTGGATTTGGGGTGTAATCCTCCATGCATTGTGAGGAGCTTTCTCGTCTTGATGTCAGTAGCCTCTGTCTCCTCTTTTGGCCAGTTTATTATACCATATATATATATATATATATATATATATATATATATATATATATATATATATATATATATATATATATATATATATATATATAGCAATTACTGATTTACAAAGAAAAATACATCTGATATTTGTATTGATTTATTACACATCCCACATACATGGATGAATGGTACCCCTCGTTTATATAAAATAAATACAAAGGTCACAGAAATAATGAGTCTGACAAAAGTTTTTTAAAAATTGTAAAAACTCCTATGAAAATGAACCAATGAAAGTCAGACATTCTTTTTTATTCATGCTTTAGCAGAATCATAAAATAAGAAGAAAAAAAACCTAATTTAAACAAGCTTAGACAAAAATGGTGGTGCCTTTAACTTAATATTCTGTTGCACAACTTTTTGAACCAATCACTGTAATCAAACCATTCCTTTTGCTCTCAGCGAGACTTCTGCTTCTCTTAGGAGGTATTTTGGTCTTCTCCTCATGAGCAAACTGCTCCAGTTGTTAAAGCTTGAAGGGTGCCTTTTCCAGATTGCATGCTAAGCTCCCTCGAAGGACTCATAGGGCTCATAGAAGGCCACTTTAGAATGGTCCAGTGTTTTCCTCTTAGCCATTCTTGGGAGTTATTAGGTATTAGGTATTCGAAATAACGTGCAATTGTAGTCTCAGGAACATCAAGCTGCTTGGAGATGTTCTAAAAGCCTCTGCCTCTAACATGCTTGTCTATCATTTGTCCTGTTAAATAAGATTGCTTAAAAATCATTATTGTTCAACTTCATTTTTAAAACCAATTGAAAGCTGCCAATGTGCATAAATAAATAAAATGTTCTAAAACATCTTATTTGTCTTTTACTTTAAACAAGAAACATGGTCCCATCTACATAATTATATTGCAACTCACTTGTCAAACATCACAGACTGAAATCAAATTAGTTTTTTAATGTTTTTAGATTTCTAGACCTTAAAATTAATAATTGAAT